ACAGTGCTAAACAATAACAAGGATAGTAATACAAGAATTATTCTAGAAGGGGTAACATTTCAAGGGTAAATGCTAGTGAAAATCGGGCAAGGAGTAGTGATGATCTTGGGTGAAGATCAAGTGTAACACTATCTATAATATTAGTATTAATTATTAAGTCTAATTTTATTTTAAAGAATTATTATTATTGTTATTATTTCTTTGGTACATTTCTTTTTTTTCATATACATGTATAAAAAAATTCAAAATTTTTTAAATTTTTAAAAACTTTTTATGCTCAATTAAATTTTAATTAAACAAGTATATCATATAATTATATTGCTTGAATTTTTTAATACTTTTATACTATTATATTGTTATATTGATTTTAAAAAAAAATTTAGTAAAAATTAAATAATTATTGTAGGCAAGTAAGTTAATATTTAATTATTATAAATTATATATATATAGAATATATTATTATTATTATTATTTTTTGCAAATAAGCATAAAATGCGAAACTTTATTTACTAAATAATAGTACTGTCATTACATTAAGCATCCATTAAAGTTAATGCTAGTTTATTGCTTTTTTATCCCAACATATTGACTGCACCTTGTAAATAGATCCACATGCTAGGAGGGAAACATCAAGAAGGTGGAAATCCAGCCTCTAGTTTTAAACCATCTGATCTTGTGTCTCCAGTTTTTGTAAAGATCTGACTGTGATTTGGCATGTTAGTTGTCATTAGGTTCCTTTTTATCATAGATGTTATTTTTTTCAAACATATAAAAAAATAGTAACTGCTTATTTAAAAAAACAAAAAATATATCTAAATTTTAAAATTTTCATTATATCTTTTGAATAGTATTAAAAGTATAAATAAATAAATTTATTTTTTAAATTTTATTTCAAGTTTTTTTTAATAAAAATTTTATATTATTCTAAAAATATTAGAATCTTATTATATTCAAGTTTAAAATTATAATAAATCAAAAAAATATAATAAACATGTTTTTTTATAGATAAATAAGTACAATAATAATATGTAATAAAATTATTAAATTATATTATTATTCAAATAATTTATATGATAAAAAATTTATTAATTTAAAATAATAAATACATAAATTGAATTATTTAAATAATTTGATTAGATATATTAAATATAATAAAAAGTTATTGTTTTTATAATTTCTATAGATTTTGAATAATTTATTTTATAGAAAAAAAAACTCTTTCCCACAACTTTTCAATTCGTAAAAAATTTCCTTTTTTGGTAATGACATGAACGGTAGACAGTAAACAGCGAGCGAGAACTTTTTCCTGTGAGAGAAGTCTATCTTAGCTTTCTGCTGGGTGTAAGGGGTCGATTAACTCTCTCTAGAGGGATGAATGCTTTGGGAGTGGCAAAAACCTCTTCGATTAAACTCTTTGCTTTATTGAGTGAAACCTATGTAAGCAACCTTCAAACAAAGAAAAACCTTTTTATCATATTTACATACATTACTATTTATCACATCACAAAAAACACACATAAAATCAAACACAATCTTTTTCTCAAGAGACAACATTTTATTTTTTCAGAATTTTTGTTTTCTGCTAATGATAATTAATGCCAGGTTAATTGGCATAATCTTCTGGCTAGTTGTCAGTTCTCATCCACCTTCATACACGAAAAAACTGAAACCAGCTTACCCCCACCAAAAGATCTGCAACACATAAAACACCAATGATATTCCATATCACCAAACTACATCAAAACAACACAACAACTTACCAGATTGGGAGAACGCGTGATCAGTGCCTTGCGCAGGTTCCGGTAATCATAATACACAATAATTCACTATAATAAAACAACAAACATCTGAAACGTATTCCAGTTACCCCACTATAACACTACAATACAACCATATCATATAACAGCAACATATCACAAAAATTACCTGATCAAACCCATCGAGTTATATATGACTTGCGAGATGCTGTCATCTGACTGAAACATCTATTTGCATTCAGGAACTACATTTAACAAAAGTTTCAATATTTTTTCAACACCTCTTCTTTTCTATATTTTTTTCTTTCACTAAATGGCGATCTTGACTCAAATGTTTTCTTATTTTTTATTTTTCCTAGTAGATAGTTCCTTTCCTTTTTTGTCTACTCAAGGTTTTTTGGAAATATATCTACTACAATAGGTGGTAGACCGATATGTATAGCCATATATCTCATATCTTAATATTGATTATGTAACATTACATATTTACTCTATCAATAAAGATCATAAGAAGTGTCTCACCTTAACAAAAAAAAAATAATTTATTTTATAATTTTCTATAGATTTTGAATAATTGATTTTATAATTTTAATAATAGGTTTTTTTAAAATAAAATATTTGCAAGTATTGTTTGTTTTCAATATTTTAAAGATAATTTTTTTTGATTATATTAACGAGAAATTAAGAATTATTTATTTAATGTTTTGGTTAAATTAATTTAAATTAATTTTAAAAATTATTGCTTTAAATATTTCATCAAATAATTTTTATAATAATATATTGTATATAATTATTATATAATTAATATTTTAGTTAATTTAATTAAAATTATTATAAAAATTATTGTTTTAAAAATATTATTAAACTATTTTTTATTAGAATATATTGTATATAATTATTATTTTAATTGCCGTCTAAAATACTTCTACTGGATTCATTCATATTATCCACAATTCTTCGTTGGTAACGACACTTACTATATTTAAATCCTTTATAATTTAAGTACAATATTACGTATAGTGTATATTAATTTAATTGCAGATTGCAAAAACAGTAATTATTATAATCATAAATTTATATGTAAAGGTTAATGATTATAATGCTAGGTATACTGTATACAGTATTCAATTTAATAATTTAATTAATTAATTTTATTTAAAGTTTATATATTTGATATTGAAATGAATAATGCTAGATTAGGTAACGTTAATATGTACGTAATTACAGATAACAATAGTATGGCATCATCTGATCAGTATTGTCTTCTGCGAAAAATTTTCAGTCAAAAGGTTCCAACAGTGTTACGATTTGCGAAGCGCTTCTATGCATGCAAACTTAAATTTTGAAATCGTTTAAAATGCCATTGGTCTTTATTTTAATATAATATCAAAAAATTAAACCACGAGTTTTTAAAATTTATCATTGATAATGAATGATTTTTCGAATAAAGAACAGAGCGACATTTAAAAAAATTTTAAAACTATAGGTTTAAAGGCGACGGTATTTAGATATTATTGAATTACATAAGATAATTTAAAATGTTGTTTATTACATGACCAGTTATTTGCGCATCTATATGTTTGTGAACCAAAAATAAAATTTGCACAATTGTTTTCCAGGACTAACTAAAAACGTAGCCCTTATGTACGATACCTATCCATTTTTCTCAAGAATGGGAAGAATTTTCGAGTTAGCTGAATTACCGAAAAAGTAACAAGCACCGGTTTGAAGCTTTTATCTCTTTTAGTGTAAATGCCAAAAATGATTTTCGGTAATATTTCGTGCTTAAACAAATCATAGAATTACATAAAAGAACTTAACCATGGTTAGAGATTACCACGGGAAAGATTGAATTGTTCATGATTGTCATCACACTTTATTCTTAAAGTCACGTGCGTAAAGTTTCTCAAAATCATGGTTTCCTATATTTAAACTACTTGACGTTTTTTTAATACTTCCATTTTTGTTATTTCTAAGTAGATTTTGATACCAACAAAGGGAAGCTAAATCCGTCCGTATCATAAATTCATAATGTGCATAAATCTCATTTGTCATTTTCCTGTATCACGCCAGTTTGAAAAGAAAACATGCGGAGGTCATTTGCAAGGATGAGCAGATGAGACAGAAAATCAGATCATTATTTCTCTAGCTGATCAATATGCTTTACCATATGTGATCCAACTTGTACCTAAGGATTTAAATTTGACTTGCCCTTTCCCACTCCTATTGGAGAACGCCAATGAAATTCGATCTACTAATATTCGAATGCTTATAAAAATCAAACCCTTTTGAAATTTTTTCATCAAGAAGACCTCGTTCTTATGATTTTATGATTATTGGTAAAAATTTTCGTGCACAAACATTTAATCCTTACGCACTTTCAAGAAGAATTTAAAATGACATTTCGATATTCCGATCCATTAGTTCAAGTGATCATCGTTGGTAAATAACGCTTTAATGATTTTATTATTAACATTACAAAAGTTCTCTAATTGATATTATCACTTTTGCAACTAAAGGCGTCATATGCCTGCTGACCTCCGGCATGTTCAATGCCTTGAATGGTTTGTTATAGCGTTAATTATTCGTCAGCATATACCAAAAAAACAAATCTCTAACCTAATCGCATATCTAGGTTTGGGAGGAGGAGGTCAATTAGATACCCGAGTTGCATCAAATGCGAACGTGGCTCTGTATACTACATTCTCTATAGGTGGTTTACTGGCCGGTCCTATTGTAAATAAATTTGGACCATCAATCTCCATGGCTCTTGGAGGTACCACTTATGCTATATATTCTGGATCACTTTTATATTTTAATCATGAACGAGGGGAACTCTTTCCGGTTTTTGCTGGTGCCATACTTGGTCTTGGTAAGTTAACTCGTTTTGTTAACAATATTCATACAAACGTTTTTCTAAAAACAATTTCTCAGGTGCCGCTCTTCTCTGGACTGGTCAGGGTGCAATCATGTTGTCATATCCTTTTGAAGAAAATAAAGGAAAATATATTGGTCTTTTTTGGATAATTTTTAATTTAGGTAATTTCAAATTCAGTTTATGTTTCATTCATTGCTTATTATATTAATGTTTTTTTGTCTGTGATAAAGGCGGTGTACTAGGCTCCATTGTTCCAATTGCTTTGAACTGGAATTCCGAAGCGGGCTCTGTGAATGATGGGACATACATTGGATTTATAATTCTCATGGGTTTAGGAGCTATTCTTGCTTTAGTTTTGCTTCCACCAAGCAAGGTGTATCACGATAATGGTCAACACGTTATCATTCAGAAATATCCCAGATGGCGAACCGAAGTATTTGAAGTTCTAAAGCTATTTTTAAATTGGAAAATTCTTCTTCTCTCGCCGATGTTTATTGCAAGCAATTGGTTTTACGCGTATCAGGTATCTTATATTGTATTTGAATTAATTGATTTACCAATCTATGGGTTAAGCTTGTATAATGAACTTTGATTACTATTTTAACCTCTAATAATACAAGTTTAACGACGTAAACGCCTTCTATTTTAACATTCGTACGCGAGCCTTTAACAATCTGTGGTATTGGGCTGCACAAATTGTCGGAGCCGCGATATTTGGTAAATTCCTCGACATTAAGGCACTCAGTAGAAGGAACCGTGGACTCATAGGGCTATTGATCCTGGCAATCACAGTGATGGCGATATGGATTGGTGGGCTGGTTTTTCAATTAACTTATAAACGTGAAGACAAAGTTACTCCGATGGATTTATATGATCCTGGATACTTCCCAAAATTATTACTTTATATTTTATATGGCATGAATGATGCGATGTATCAGGTAAGGTAATATTGTAAAGTCTTTCATACTTTATACGGCACTGAAATTTCGTTTTAATGAAACATGTAGTGTTATGCCTATTGGGTCATGGGAGCCCTTACCAACGACGCGACTATTTTAGCGAGATTTTCCGGGTAATTAATTACTTATAAATGTTATGTTTCTGCAACTTCCAATCCAAAAATTGACAAATATTTACTCGTGTTTAAGCTATTATAAAGCCGTCCAATCGGCAGGAGGAGCTGCGAGTTGGCGGATAGATGCTGTTAACACTGGATTCCTCGAACAATTGATTATATGTTGGTCGCTTCTGGCAGTTTCGTTACCATGTACATTTGCTGTTGTACTTGGATTAAAGGAAACAAATTATGAAGAGAACGAAAAGAAGGACCAAAATGAACCTAAAGACGCTGAAAATAGAGGAACAGATCCTAAGGATATAAATAATGAAGTTGTAAGTGATGTTAAATAAGGAATAACTGGTGTTATGAAACTTTATAATACTTATAATGAACTTTATAATGTTTATAAATAATTATTGTGACTTTATAATGCTTACAAATAATTATCAAGACTTATTGAAAATGAGATATCATTGATAATTGTAAACAATAAAATAAATCAGTGCCTTTATTATTAATAAGTTGGTTTTTATTAGTTACACCTTTAAAAGATTACAAGTGAATATCAAAATATGTAATTTCCTATTCCCTCGTTTTACCATTCTATTCTCCTATTTACAGTATTCATCCCGGCGCGTCATGCAAACGAATCCATACTTTTATCTGCTGCAATTCTTTACTATGTTACCCTCTTGTGTTGTGCAGACTGCAAAACACACTGTCATGTCATGTACCTTAAGCAAGCTTTTCTAAAAAAATAATTTTTATTAAAAATGCTTATAAATTGGTTTGATAAGAATATATAAAATAATAAAATAAAAATTTTTATTATTATCAAATTATTGATGAATGATGTATTTATACATAGATACAGTATGCGCAAAAAAATTCGTAAAAATTTATGTTAAATACATTAATGCATTTTTTAAATAATTTAATTTATTAAAATTTTATTGTTTATTTATAAAAATATCATATATACTGTATATACTGTCTGTATATAATGTAGTATTTATTATTTTCATTTATAATGCTTATACTATATATTGTTAGCGTGTAAAAAGGTGATAGAAAATAATAAGGAAAAAGGTATAGTAAGTATATCAAGTATATCAAG